TATTCATCACATTCTGGTATGATAAAGTGAGTATTAAAATTAACAAGTCCATAAGTTATGAATGAGCACTGTTATTATTTTTCAAAACGTCATCAGTCACACTCAATTTTACAGCCACATCATAATCAACCTCTCATTTACATCACATAATCAAATGTTCACTTTTCTGGTTTTGTTGCAGCATGCCCCCATATAAAAAACGTAAGTTACGTACTTGCGATTATCGAGGGACCAATAGAATTTTTGGATATTAACGTTTCTTTATTAAAGAATCGCCTTTTATACAGTTATTGCGGGAATGCGGAACTGATGAGAACAAATTTAATTGCGCCGAGACGTTTGGAATTCTCGTGTATAGTAAATAGCAGTCCATTGCTCATCCTATTTTACTAAAACTCGACATTTCCTAACTTTCTTTCACAGAAAAGGATTATCACTTTTATTCCATGCACTATGCCGATGGTGTCTACCTAGTAGACAAATTTGACGAATTCGCGATACCCTCCAACGCCGGTCAATTGTTTGAATTGTCAGAAATTATAAGGTCATTGTTTTCGTTTAAGGTAATATATAATAACCAACATTGCAGTATTTTTATTGTAAAGTTTAAATAATATCTTTTTCTTCTATCGCAGAATCGCGTTATGAACCTTCATGACATACAAAATCTGTTCAATGGAAAATACTGATCCATACAGAAATCTCGTCATTATGGTAAAATTGCTACCAAGACATCTCCTAAATCTCCTTAAATAACTGCAAGAAAAAAAGAATATTTTTTAATTATTCTGCGACAAAGTTATTACATATTCAAAATAAAGCTTTTACTTAAATCCTTACATTTGACTTCTTTGAGGAAGTTTTCGCCCACATTGGGCTTGTATTTTTACATGCTTGTACTGTACTTTCGAAAGGTTTTATTTTGATGAGCCTCATGTAACAGTAGTGTTTTTAAAATTTTAATTAAACATTGTATTAAAACCTGTCTATTCAAGACTAAGCGTGGAGGATATTGACTATGTAATAGCTAAAGTCTTGGAATCGAATCAATGCCTCCCTTGAAGCATTAGCTTCTGCGGGAGATAATCCAACTGTTTTAGCGAAAAATTTTCTGGAAATGGAATATTTTTGAGGGGCAGTGAAATTTACTGCGCCATTTCTACTCAATATTAGATATTAATATACCGGATTTTAGATAAGCCGAATTTTACTCAAATGTGATCGCCTGTTCACACCTTGCTGAAGTTATATTATGTGTATTTTCGAGAAATTCCAATTACCGCGTTTCTATGATAATCGATGATTGACTGTACATAATAACTTCCAATACAATATACACACCGGTCGTAGTCACCACTCATTTGAATTTCAAATTTATATCGTCTATGGTTCTCGAGATATTTGCGATTTTGTTGAGCGTGCGATGTTCATCATTGATGAACGGTTCTTGAGTGTGTACAGTGGCCTGCCAAAATTTTACGACCACCCGTGCCGATCATCACATTTATTATGAGTAGAAGCGATTTTCTAT